CCAAGGCGCCTGTTAAAATATAAATCAGACGCTTGATCACTGTTTTCATGAAATTCAATTTAGTTAGTTTTGTTTTGACCATTTTAAAAATTATTGATTTTTTCTTAATATCTATTAGTTTACCTAACTTTTAATTAACCCTGATATAACTTTATGCTTTTTGTTTCTATGACAAAATCGATCTACGAGCAGAGCTAACTAAGATATCCGTTTAGTTGTGCTTGCATATAATTGGTTGGGTTTTTAAGGGGAGCTTGGTCAAAAGGTGAATTTTTTGGGACCCAAATACGGGTTGTCCTATTTAAAAAAGAGTTTGATTCGGCTATGTCTCGCAAACGATTTGTCTAAAAAATTTAATGACTACACCACTATAGTCTAAGTAAAAATATCTATTGTAACTTTTTTCTAATTTACAAGGTGTCAAAAATATGATAACACCAAAACGTTCTATTTCTGTTGCTTAATAAGAAACCCTGTGATTACACGCAATGATTGACACAGTGCGCGCGAAACTAAACAAATTAAATTTAGGGTGTTTTGTAGATGAGTTCTATAAATTTTAATTGCAACAAAACGATAGTGCGGTTTATTTGTTTGTACTGCAATGCTCTGTAACTAAGAATGTTTAATCTTGCATACTTGTGAAACACGTATTGTCTATAGTAACCCTAGTAACCTGAGTTAGTAGAGTATTTACCGCGGCAACACAGTACTGATTCAATTAGTTCCCAATTGAGTGAAATATCTAATTATTCAATAACTAAATTAACCGTCCGCATGTAATCACTCAAAATAAATTACTTGACCATGATTACTTTGTATTACCTACGTACGTTGGATTCTGTCACCAAATTAATAATTGTTCTCTCGTGTGACTAAATTCGGTTATGGCTATGATATCAGTAAATTGCGTTTAAGTTGTGAATCGGTAAATAGAAAGACTTTTAGTGAACACTTTAGAATTCCAGAGTAAAGACACAATTTTTGTAGGTAAATTGATAAAATTAAAATATGCAATTTAAGTAAGTAAGATATTATTAAAAAACGCCTTAATTTTAAAGTCGGAGAAACTCAAAAAAGCTCTCTTCTCTTTTTTAATACAAGAAGGTACTGAAGCACCATTATATAAAATAAAATATGTATTCGGTATTTTCTCAATTTTGAGTTGAAATCTCTCGAAATGGTTCAAGATTAAAGGTGATATATTTGCTTTTTATAGACTATTAAAATACATAGAGAAACCAGCTCCGGTTTGAGAACCTTTCTCATCGAACGGAGCGATGTATGTATGGTGTTAGTCAATTTTGTGTATTTTTTAAATGCGAGTTACGTGATAGAGATAAAGTACTATTCAGAAAACTTTCTTAATATTTATAAAGAATATAAATATGGACAAAATTACAAGAGAAGTGAATTTCAAGCAAGATTTAAACGATAATTTCAAACCTCTTATCCCATTTTATCTATATGTGTACCTTGAATGCTTCGAAAGTTACTATTAAAAACTACATGCAACATATGGAACGAATTTATTTAAAAATTGCGTATTTGAGAAGAAAAGAAAAATGCTCGCACATGCAGCAAAATTTTTTTTGTGCATTTTTACAGTAAATAGAAAATATGCAATCAAAAAGTAGATGCCAATACTAAGTTCCTTTTTTTAAATGAAACAAAATCTTTTTAAATCATGCAGCATATCCTATTTACCTCTTACTTTTTATGTATAACAGTGCTATAAAAGTATAAAAAACAGAAATTTTTATTTGAAATGGCTAGTACCAGTAAGGTTGCTAAATTCAGCCAATTATACATATCTGTCAGTAAAGAAAGTGAATATGGTGCATCTGAATGAGGTTCATAGAATTAAAATTTTAATTTTTATTTCATATGGACGAAAAATGTAAACTTAAGAAGACGTAGTAATACCCAGAAAAATTGCAGGCCCTTCTACTATTTCAGTGTCCGATAAATACCGCATTTAAATATTCACGTACTTGTCAAGCAAAATGTTGAAAACAAATCGGGCTGATTTGGACTTATTGTAAATATCGGGCTCCAATAAGATTTTGTAATTCAAAATGTCTTCGAAAACATTTATTTTTTGAGGCTGTTGTGTATGATTTCATCCGTTTCCATTATTCGGTTCGAAGTGTATTGCGGAATATACTCCAAATCCTTATGATGGCTATGGGTAAGATGTCCAGTGTGCTGCAGACGGAGCTCACTGTCATTACTGTGGCTGCAAGAGCAATCGCTAGGCGTAAAGTTACTGGTAAAACTCTATGCACCTATTCAGAGAGCAGGCAGGCAATTCTGGTTCTTCATAAAACAAGTTTTACATCAGAACTAGAACTAGAATATCACTGTGTCCTCGTGGATGCTTCAGTGGACAATTATTTGGATTAAAGAATAATTCATGCCGCTCCTTGGCCAGGAAGGTTTGCGCACTGAATTTTAGTACCGAAGCCTCTGTCGGTCTGCCGCCGTCAGTAATTACAAAGCTTTTAAAAGAAAACCCTCGGAAACAATTTCTAAAACAATGGGATGAAACAGAAAACTATTGCCTAGCTAGGAAGTTATTGAGCTCTCCGAAGAGAACAGGAATACTCTATGCATGGCCACAGGTATTCTTACGGGTCATTGCTTACTTAACAAACACCAATTCAGGTTGGGTTTGATTAGCACCCCCCCACCCCCCTGCGAATAGGAACGCGAGACAGTAGAATGCATTATGTGCAAATAGGGCGCGCTTAGGCGTGAAACCATGCTAGCCGAATCATATCCATCCCCTAGTTTAATCAACGAGACGACTCTTGGATCTGTCATCGCCTACGTGGACTCATTAATGTTGATGCGTAGATGATATACTCCAAAATGAAATCTGATACGAACAAAAAACTGCAGCAATATTGAACGTAAACGTATCTATCACAAGTTAATTAATTCGCGTTATCAATAAACATAATATAACTGAGCGCAGTATTTTTATTTCTAGTCGGTAAACAAAAACTGTATAAACGTGCACCATTTTGCCTTGAAATATAGGCGAAATGTGGTGGTATATAGTTACAACAACATTTAATTAAAACAAGCAAATTATATCATATTTGCTGCAACGGTACTAATTAAATCATCACAATGTTAAAGAGAATAACTTTGTATAGGGCCCGTATAACGAATGAAAATCCGGAAAGCTAGCTTCGAATTTGTGGCTTTACCTCTAAAGTTTGTTTCTATGGTTACGACATTCGTCATAACATATTTCGTCACGTTATCACAAAATGATCAAAACTAATATTAATGATATGCCCGAATAATAAAAGAAGTTTAATGCTTCCGTTTTATCGAAAAATGCTTATCAGTTGAAATCCGCTAAACGCGGAGTTATTGACCATGATGTCAGTGTGTTACCCCACATGAAAACGCCATAGGTTAGGTGTGAATCAAAGATAATACTATGTCATTATTAACGTTTCCGTAGAGACTATTTTTTTTAATTCGTGAACTACAAAAACACTAGATGACAGTGTTTTTTACAACAAATTGATATGCTAAGTCCAACTCAAATTATTATCCAGTGCAATCCCCAAAAGTTTTGCACTAGCACCCATCTCCAAGTTATTATTTGTTGAAAACACAAGGTGCTACTTGTTTTATTTTATTTATTAAATCTTGTGTGTTTTGACCATAACTTGTAATTAACGTATCGTCTGCATGCTAGATTTTGGACTAGAAATAACATAGATCGTTAATGCAATATGTTAATGTGAAAAGCAGCAGACCCAGCACAGAGCCCTGTGGCACGCCACTATCTACGCTTCTTAATTCTGACTTTTCATTTTTATAAACCACACATTGGGTCCTAGATAACGGCTGTTATTTAATAAGTTTCAATATTTCTTCAATTTTTCCAACAGTAAGTGGTTCGAAACACAGTCAAACAAAATTCACTACCAAATGCATCTAACCTCTTTAAGAATACTACCGTTAATATCAAAATAGTATTCATTTTTTCAAATCTGCAACACAGCTGTAGGAAGAAATATGGCGGAACAAAAGGCATATTATTCCGACATTCCCTACGTAACCCTTGATTGTTAAAGATCTCAGAGTATCTGAGGCAATCCTTGTAAAATATGAATTGATTTCAGTTGGAGAAATATTACCACAGTGATGTTCTTATTTACAGATTTCTTTTGTAATTAATTATTTACCAAAACAAGTACGAAACATTTGTTCTGGGTCTTAGTAGAATTATTTTTCGAAAAGCAAATCTTTACTGATATTTTTATTCATTTTATTTATATAATAATAATAATAATAAACAGTCTTTATTCGTTTAGACGAAATCCATTAAGTAGAATATTATTATTTAGGGGCGACATACCATATTGTTGTTCTTGTGCAACCCCCTAAAGCAAACAACCCGTCTCAGATATATCTGCTCATTATTTATATACTTATTGAACTGAATTAATATAGAATAAATATATAGTAGTTATGCCAATAAAAGCCGTTCAATTTATTAACAGGAAACACTAATTTACGTAGATGTTCGGCCTCTTTTGTCTTGTCTTGCTTAAGTTTTGGTGCGAACAATTTTAAGGAGGTTAAGACTTTATAGCTATAGCATTGTCTAAATTGAGTTGAAATATGCTTGGGAACAACGAACAGTTCCTTATAGCTAGTATTAAAGTTTTAAATTTAATAAAAGTTTCTCAAACAAGTACACTGACCTTTGGATGTTTTTTTAGTTACAACTAAGAGATGCGATTTGAATCGTTCGTCTACAATCAGCAAGCGTGGCGTCTCAAAGGTCGCAAAAATGTGATCAAACTTATGAACATTATAATGGTCAACATAACAGAATTAGGTAATTTTAACTTAAAAGTTGTGTTTACCACATCTTTGTGAGAGTTCAGAATCTCAGGTAGCAGTGGCATTTGCTACGGCTATCCGTAAATTGTTTTTATATTAACAAATAAACAAAAGTGCCATACCTGTAAATGGGGAATCCGGAACCTTGCTGGAACCAAAATACCATATACACCTTGTCATATACCGGAGCAGTGACATCACAAGGAAGACTAACACTTTTGCCTTCTACAGCTTGGATCTCATGTTCAGTATCTGGAATACAATAGAAAATATATATATATATTAAGGAAACTTATAAGTTTGCAACAGTGCTAGCTGGGATAGTAAGTGTCAAAATTAAGCTAAAAACAAATAAAATAGGTTTACAAACACAATGATATAGGGTATTTTGAATGAAATAAAATGAAATTAATGGTATAATCTAACTAGTAAACGAAACATAGAACACTTTCCAATAAAAACTTACTAACTTAATGAAAATTCAAACAACTGGTGTCAACCGAAAAAAAACAACGTTTGGATGACCGACGAAATCTTAGAGCTTATGGAGCAAAGAAGAAAGCTTAAAACCAACAAGAGGACTACAAAGAAAAACCAAGAAAAATCCTAATACATTATTATTCTCTAGTGGACAGGACAGTAAAAACCATAATCGACGCACAAGAAATTCTCGGAACCTGGAGTACATATATAGCTCCACGTTTTTTAACATAACAGATCAAACGAACCAAACTGTGTAGATGAAGTCCGAAGCAGAGTAGAGCTCCTACAAATGGAGGGAGGGCAAAATCACTAATCAATATTGTTGGATACTGCTATGCTGTTAAAATCGGTATGAATAGCAATTCCAAAGACACAAGGTACCAAAAAATCTAGGGACTACATGTTGATAAGTCCTATCAGTCACACTTTGATGGTGTTCCTGAGCATCATATATCGGAGAATAAGGAGCAAAGGTGATATGGCTACAGGATTTTTTTTTGGCACCATAGAAGCATCTCCAGCAACGTAAATATATCTTGGTGTGTGTATCCTTCATTGGCTACGAAAAGGCGTTTGACAGGGTACAACATGATAAGCTCATAAATATTATGAGATATATTAGAGTAAAGACGTACGGATTATCCGGAATATCTATTGGCAGCAATGGGCAGTAGTATGCAGGGTTAAAATCAATGGAGAACTCATCAATAACATCCTATACGTAGACGGCACAGCCACGGTCTCCAAAATCTTTTAAACTAGGTTAACACTGCAGGAGAGGCAATGTGACTAAGGATAAATTTAGATTCAACAAAGTTCGTGATCGCCAAACATTTTTTAAGAGTACCTTACTTAAGTACTTTGGGTGCCACTGGACTGAAAAAGTTGACCCAGACAAGGAAATAAAATGTAGGATTGGAGCGGCTCCTACAACATTCAAAAGCATGAAATCACTCTTTTGTAATTACAATATAAATCTGAAACTTAGTCAAGAAATGACAAAGTGCTGTACTATGCGTGTATGTGTGCTGCCAAGACTGCCAAGCTGATTGGATAGATGAATGCCCCATATATCATGCGTAGCTATGCAAACAAACGAGGGCGTTTTGAATAGAGCAAACGCCGTTCGTGAACTCTTGACAATTGTTAAGTGTCGTAAACTGTTAGATTTGGAATATGTCCTCCGCTGTGAATGTCATCATATTCTACATCTTATTATAAACTGCAAAGTAAGTTGTAGGGAAGTCGGAAACAGGAAACGGGTTTCATGATTGAAGAATATCCGTGAATTGACCAGAATCTGGAATTCGCAGTGCCAGACCCAGGGGAACCTGGCAAAGCACAGCGAGAAGAAGAAGAGTGTTAAAAATTAGAAAAATTAGAACTTTCTGGTGTTAGTAGCAAAAATTTTTTATATTTATTATTTATTTTTTATTTTACATTTATTTATAACTTGTTAACGCGAATTTGTCGTTAACACTGAAAGATCCAGTGGCACGACAAGCATTTTATAACAAATTTTTGGCGCAATTGTTCCGCAATACCAGATTGCAACCGTTAAAATGAGATTTATTCATTAAATTATGTGGTTTTACTTCAACAACACTTGACATTGATATTGAGAATTGACAATTCGTGACCCAGATAAAACTATCCGTTACGATGCGTACAAAAGGAGCATTCAGGAAAATATCCGGTCGGTCATTTCTTACAAATTAACACCATTTTTCTCCGCTACTTGACACGAATAACTAACTAACGCATAATAAAAACTCGGTGAATAATGGATTTTTTCAACATCACGGGTATATTTTCCTTATGTTAAAATGGTGCAATACGCGGGCAAATTTACGGAAATAAGGGCACGGTCCTCGGTAAAGCACATTTAATAATATTTATATGGCAGATCGTAATTCAAAGTTTTAGCGGGAAATAGCCTCCACCGTCGGCCTGGCATATTTTTGTAAGCAGTTAGCTGGTTAAGCGTAATCCGTTCTGCCGTGAATGTATTGTGCCCGCAGGAAAAATAACCACTTTACTTGTACACGCGTTCCATGGAGTATAAATTGTAAAATTGTCACCAGAATCAAGGTTACAAATTACAGTCACACCTGTCAAATCGGGTTTACATATCGCTATACATATACACTCTTCGAATTAATAATTTTTCATATTCTTTAGGCATCCTGCTTGTATCCCAGCTTATTAAATAACAACCTATTCATCATAGAAATTAGTCACGCAGAGCATGTGGCTGAAGTTAGATTTGGATTTGCGAATATTACAGTGGACCAGTTTGTTATTTACCGTAATTAAAAAAAAACGTATTCCTGTGTAAATTCCGGGAAATTAAGCAAGGGAATATTGTAAGGGAACTCCTAAAAGCCATATTCAATATCGCTATACAGAAAATAACACCTTTTCCGCTCGTGTCACAGCAAATAATAATTTAACTAATATTTCGCAATCTCGAAAAAAAGTTGTCCCAGATTTTCAAGCAGGCCATTGAAGAGCCACTTTGGGGAACTTCAAAATAATGTATTACTCAACCACCTTAAAACCGTCGGCAATATATAAAACAACCCCCAATTATGAAATACCACAAAGTTCGTTATATTTATTTCGCAATCTCAAAAAAATCTGACGTTGTTCCAGCTATTGAATTAAACAGTTAAAGAGCTTCAAAATGATGTACTATTCAACCACCTTGAAACCGTCGGGAAGACATAAAGCTATCCCCAATTATGAGATGCACTAAAATTCGTTTTCAAAATATTAAGTTGCACATCCTGTATATTTTTTCATGTTTTATTGCTATGGTTAATTTTAAGTTAATTTTCAAAAGGCGTATATGCTTGTCTCTTTTTGTTTTTGAATTACTTGAAAAAAATTGTACAACCAGCATAATAATTATTGCTCCTAATCCGGAAACGATTCAAATTGTTTTTTCTTTAAATGGGATACCATGTTTCTCTAAACGGCATCAAGTACAAAATTTGTACTTAAGATAGAATTTGTCATAGTATTCATTTTGCTAAAAACTAAAGAGATTACTTATGTTTTGAAGACGAGGTTGTTATACGCAATTTTAAATAATTTTGTACTTTAAAAAGCAGAATAAATGTGTTTTAGCGTCCTAGTTTTTAAAACATTCTAAAGACCGATTCAAAACAATTATTCCACTCAAATTGGCAGAAAATAAATATACAACATAAAAATGTGAAATAAACGTAGGTACAGCCACATCTAATTATTACCATTCATATGCATACACCCTTTATTTATATTTATTTAAACACAGCCCGTTCAACCGCCACACTATTGCAGGACAGTAACGAATATTTAGTTATTTCATTATTGGGGATAGTTTTATACCTTCCCTACCGCTTCAAGGTAGTTGAGTAGTACATCATTGTGAAGCTTTTCTAAGTGGTTCTTTAACTGTCTAATTTAATAGCTGGGCAACGTCAGATTTTTTTGAGATCCCGAAATTAATAAAACGATTATTTGGTTATTTCATTATGGGGGGTAGTTTTATATTTTCCCGACCGCTTCAAGGTGGTGGAGTAGGACATCATTTTGAAGCTCTCTTAAGTGGCTCTTTAAGGGTATAATTCAATATTTGGATTAGTTTAAAAGGTCTGAAACAATGCGTTTTTTAACCATTTTCGGATGTAGATAATTGCCTATCTGTAAACGAAAACCTATCCAAATTGATATTGAGCATTATCGGTTACAGGGTGTCCAAAATTTATCAACTAATTGCAGCAAACTTTTACTGCGGCCAAATTTAACTCTATATCGATTTGATACGTTTTTTCTTGTACCCGTTTTCAATGGTTACCTTGTAATTTAATATTTTTTATCAAAAGTCAATCAAAAGCCAAAGTTCAAAGTTTGTAGAGGCCTAGAAATACCAATCGGTGATCGGGATGGACAGTTCCAAAATTCCTGAACTCCTAACCAAAAACATGCAAAATTTATTTTTTTTGCGCCCGCCTAACATACGCCGTGTTGCTCATATTTTAATATGTTCTGAGTTCTATCGAAACAACTTTTAACTTCCACAATTAATAATGCAGTAGATATCTAAATGGGAATCTATTAATTTAACATCAAACATCAGAAATCGCTGAAGCACACGCACGCATCTTTGTAAAGGGTAGTAGATCGAGGCTTCGTTGTTTACATTGAGCGTGCACCCTTCAAACTGTTTTTCCCTGCCGGAAAAATTGTTGCTAATATCTGCGATTTCGTGCAGCGAAATATTAACTTTCGTCTTGGAATAATAAGGCCGCACATTCGAGGATTTGTAGGAAATTGATTTTACGGCGGAATGGGCCGAAAGTGCATGTTTGGTTGTTAATTTCTAGACGTCAGGAGTTTCATCGCAATCACCAAAATTTCGCTAATTTTGAGAAAATAAAACCGACGGCGCGAAAATTGAGCATGTTGACTCTCGAACATGAATATTCCAACGGAGTTTACTTCGTTGCCGTTTTTGTATTCTATACCGATTTTATGAAGATTTAATTCGAAATAAAAAAAGATTCCCTTATATGTTTTATTTCATCTTCCTTGTTCAGCGAGTTGCCATATTAGTATATTATGCAACAGGTGCGGTAAACGGCATTTGACTCACGAGTTTATTTGACACGAGCGGAACGAGTTTTTAATAATAAAAAATAATAAAAAGTTTACCGAACATTTTCACAAAACAACACAACTACATTCACTGACATGACCGTCAGAATTGACAAACGTCAAAA